AGTAATGACCCTCTGCCCACGCCCAACCTTGCCTATTCAAATTCAGCTCTTCCGTCCCCGCGGGTAACACATACGGCCTCGTGAAAGTTTTCCTCAGGCAAATTATTCTAGGGAACCACGGGGATAATGACCCCCTGCGCACACTCAACCTTGCCCATTCAAATTCTGTGTTCCCGCGCTCTTGAATATCACCTACGGCCTCGTGAAAACTTTGGCGGGTAAACTATTAACTCGGGAATCATGGAAAGATATTCACCCTTCAAGGTTTCGAATTCAGTTTTCTTGCGCTGATGGATGAAATTTTCAAGTATTTCCCAATGTCTGAACTATTTTTAAATAAACTAAACTACAAAGCAGTGAAAATCATTAATGAGCAATCGTTCGATGGGCTGAATTGCACAAAACGCATGATCGCACCGGCCAGTCTGGTGCGCGTTGCTATTTATTTTTCCCCGGTCCATGTGCATCTGTTCATACGCCAAATATGGTGGACTTTTGAATGTCACAAAAGGTTGCCCAGAATGAGTTTGTTGTCGTTGAACAAGATACATAGTCGCCGTTAAACGTGGAGTGTGTATACCGTTCCAAACACCATCGATGTGGACGATCTTTGAAACGTCGGATAGGCAAAACGGCAACTTCGTTGAAAGCGAGTGTCGCGACAAAAGCTCTTCAAACTTTGACGAGAGGAGGAGGGTCCAGTGGCTGCCGCCCAGAATCGCCTACCAGGAAAGAAAGCCTGTAACTGTCCTAGAAAATCACATGCAGGGATTCCCATCGAAGAACAAACGCCAACCAAACCCTCATGCGTCCGCTTCACTCCACCGATCGATACAAGTTGTTTCATCGTACCCGTTGTCAAATTAAGACACCGTCGAAAAATAGCATAGCAGAAAGAAAAGAAACATAGGCGCTGAGACAACAAAGTGGCTTACTGTCTGGAGAGGTTTCTCCTTTTCACGGGTAGGAACAACGAAGGCTTCAGATTCTTAGTTTTTATGCGTTTTTGCCGTGCAGCGCTAGAGTGCTGCAACAGGCAGCAAGAATGCATATTGCAACGACCCCGTCAGTGTGTGTGTGTGTGTGTGTGTTCGCCTGTCCGGGTATTTCAACTCTCTAACCACGCAAGCTTTGCAGCTGAAATTTTGCCCGTGTGTTCTCCAGCCAGGTACCACCCCAGGACCGCAGTTCCAACCCTCATGCATGTCTGGGCCTCGCGTACGAGAGGGTGAAAGTTTTGGTGGGAGAATCGCTAACTCGGGGACCAGAAAAGCTAGAAAGCTGAAATTTTGAGGTTATTTTTCTCGTATACATAGAACTTAAAGATTTCAAATTCGGCCCCCGGGTGTGCGTGGTTCCCGCGTATGGCCCCGTGAGGGTTCCTGGCACGAAAATCGCTAACTCAGGAACCTGAAAAGCTGAGGAGCTGAAATTTTTAGGGAATGTTCCCAGCACACGTACAACTTACAATTATCAAACTCAGTCATTCAGCTTGTGTGGTACTCACGTACGGCCTCGTAAAATTTTTTGGCGCGAAAATGGCTAACTCGGAATCCAGGAAAGCTGGGAGGCTGAAATTTTCAGAAAATGTTCCTAACCCAAGTTCAACTTAAACTTTTCAAACTCAGCCCCTCAGCTTGAGTGGTAATCACATACTGCCCCGTGAAAAGTTTTTGGCTTGGAAGTGGCTAACTCGGTAACCAGGAAAGCTGGGGAGCTGAAATTTCCAGGGAATGTTCCCAGTACAAGTACAACTTACAGTTATCAAACTCAGCCCTCGGGCGTACATGGTGTCATGTAAGGCCCCGTGAAAATTTTTGGCAGGAAAATTACTAACTCAAGTACCAGAAAATTTAGAAAACTGAAATTTCAACGAATTGTTCCCCATCCACACTTCCCGGATTTCGAGGACCAATATATCACACATTTCTAGCTACTGGGTCCCGAGTGATCTCATTACAGCATGAAATGTTGCAAAAACGCATGATCGCACGGGGCCCGCCCAGTGCGCGTCGCCAATGATTGTTTTGAACTGCACCATCGAACGCATATATATATAATATATATATATATATTATACATACATGTATAATGTATATATGTTATATATATTATATATATTATATATGTATGTAATATATATTATACATTATAAATATATATATATACAAT